TTATTTATTTATTTATTTATTTATTTATACCCCGCCTATCTGGGCAACTCATCCACTCTAGGCGGCTTACAATATAGGATAAAACAATAAAATACAGAAAAGTACATAACTGTTCAATCGTTACAATTATAATAAAATATAGGGATAATGAAATAAGGGAAAATAAGAAAAGAGATCAGGTATTGACTGGAAGGAAGGCCTGGATATATAACCATTTTTAAAATTGGGTTTTAAAGATTCCCAGCGTAGGGGCCGCACGAATCTCTGGAGGGAGGTTATTCCACAGGTGAGGAGCCACCGCCGAGAAGGCCCGGTTTCGTGTTTTCTCCTTCCGGGCCTCTCTTGGTGTGAGACTCCTCAGCCTCACTTTCTGACTCGCATGGGGGATCCGGTGTAGACCTTGGTGGGAGCAGGCGTTCCGCCAAATATCGAGGTCCTAAACCATTTAGGGCCTTATAAGTAAGCATTAAAACTTTGAAGTCGGCGCGGAAACAAATGGGCCGCCAATGCAGGGCAGCTAGAGTTGGAGAAATGTGTTTGTATTTTCTCACTCCGGTAAGGAGTCTGGCCATTGCATTCTGCACCATGTGAAGTTTCCACGTCAGCTTCAAAGGCAGCGCCACGTAGAGCGTGTTACAGTGGTCTAATCTGGAGATTACAAGCGCATGCACCAAGGTAGTGAGTGCCCCCGTGTCGAGATAGGGCCGCAGCCGGGCAATCCGCCAAAGGTGGAAAAAGGCAGTACGGACAACCGACGCCACCTGCATTTCCATGGTGAGCGTCGGGTCCAGGTGTACGCTCAAGCTGCGGCCCCCACTCGCCGGAGCCAAGGCGGCTCGCCCAAACGAGAGTCGCCCAAGCCGCCTGCCATGGGGGCCCCCACCCTCAGAAATTCCGTCTTGTCCGGTTTCAACCTCAGGCCATTCTCCTGCATCCATTCCAGTACGGTCCCCAGGCAGCGCTGAAGGGACAGGACAGCATCACCTGCAGTTGGAAAAAAAGAGATGTAGAGCTGGGTGTCATCAGCGCACTGGTGACACGATGCTCCACACCCCCTGATGACCCCAGCTAGCGGCCTCATATAGATGTTAAACAGTATTGGGGAGATAATCGACCCCTATGGAACCCCACATTTGGAGCTCCACGGGGCCGAGACACTCTCCCCAAGCTGAACTCTCTGGGGACGGTCCTCCAAGAAGGAACGGAGACAGGCTAACGCCGAGCCACCAATTCCCAGCTCGGAGAGCCTCCCCAGGAGGATACCGTGGTCGACGGTATCAAAGGCCGCCGAGATGTCGAGGAGGACTAACAGAGACGTTTTGCCCCTGTCCCTTGAGGGGAACCTGCCCTGAAGGAAAGACCCATTTATTATTGCTGTGGCCCATTCAGTTGTTTTCGGCCTGGCTGCTTTGATTAGCCAGGCCGGGCAAGGGTCCAAGGAGGAGGTGGCGGCCCGACAGCGATCAAGCAGCCTGGCCACAGAATCAGGCGTTACCGGCTGAAAGGAATCAAAAATAACCGGGCAAGACGGAGTGCTGGACATCTCAGCTCGACTCGCTGCGTTCAAAAAAGGAGAGAGCTCCCGGCGGATGGCCTCCACTTTAGATTTACCGTGGTCGACGGTATCAAAGATGTCGAGGAGGACCAGCAGAGACATTTTGCCCCTGTCAGCCTCCCTCAATAGGGCATCATACAGGGCGACCAGTGCCGTCTCTGTACCGTGGCGCGGCCTGAAGGCCGACTGGAATAGATCCAGGGCATCTGTTTCATCCAAGTGGGCCTGAAGCTGATCGACCACTACCCTCTCGACCACTTTGCTCATGAAAGAAACATTGGCAATGGGCCTGTAAAAGCTATGGTTTTTCCTGCAGTGATGTATGGAATCGAGAGCTGGATCATAAAGAAAGCTGACCACCAAAGAATTGATGCTTTTGAATTCTGGTGCTGGAGGAGGCTCTTGAGAGTCCCCTGGACTGCAAGGAGAACAAATCTATCACTTCTGAAGGAAATCAAGCCTGAGTGCTCAAGGTCAGATCCTGAAGCTGAGGCTCCAATACTTTGACCGTCTCATGAGAAGAGAAGGCTCCTCGGAAAAGACTCTGATGTTGGGAAAGTGGGAAGGCAGTAGGAGAATGGGACGACAGAGGATGAGATGGCTGGACGGTGTCACCGAAGCTACCAACATGAATTTGACCCAACTCTGGGAGGCAGTGGAAGACAGGAGGGCCTGGCATGCTCTGGTCCATGGGGTCACGAAGAGTCAGACATGACTAAACAACTAAATAACAATAACAAGAATGCTATATTATTTTAATCCCACTGCTTTGTGGGAAAGTGGCTCCTAAAGTTCCAATCAACGAATCGAATAAGTCATTGATGAATGTGGTGAGAATGTCGTGGGATGCAAACTGTCATCACCCCTGAGTTTATAGTAGAAATGTAAATGACAAGTCCTGCCCATTTACAAATCCCTGCAAAAATTCTAATCTGGGGTGACTGAATGAAGCAGATATGATTAGGTCTAATGATCATCTGCAGCAGGAGTGGCAGGATGCAGCTCTCAGGTGCTGAAATATGTCTCAGAGTGACCCTATACCTCAAATACTCTAAATTTTTTACATATTTTATAACTTGATACTTTGTTAAAGTTTGCAGAGTGGAATCTGGGTGAACTTTAGATTTTTCCTCTTCCAACTCAGGCCTCCAGGAGTGCTCACTACTCTTCCTCTTCTACTGCTGCCACCAATTATATTTAATATGTAAAAAGGACCAGGGTTTCTTCCCAAACAAAATGGTGTTTATTGATTTCACAAAATAAAATAAGTAAATCACAGGTAGCTAGCTAATCACGTTGTAAATCACGGTTTCTCATACACTAAATCACACAGACGTTTCCCTCACTGACTCTTTGGCTCACAGGCCTACATACATGCTAATCACTAACTCTCAATCTCTCCAATCTCACACATCACACACCCCTATATATATTCCAGCTCCTCCCCCTTCTGCACCACCCTCCATCCCCTCATTGGCTGATGTTCCACTGCCCAGCTGTGACGGACAGGTGAGAGCAGGGTTGAATGTTACAATCATCTACAGCAGGAGTGGCAGGATGCAGCTCTCAGGTGCTGAAATATGTTTCAGAGTGACCCTATACCTCAAATACTCTAATTTTTTTACATATAACTTGGTACTTTGTTAAAGTTTGCAGAGTGGAATCTGGGTGAACTTTAGATTTAAGACACACCTCTATGATGTTTAAGATCCATTGACCTCATTTTGTGTTTTATAAGCTTCATCCAGATGTTTTCAACAGCACAAATTCATCCACAATTAATAGAATTTTCTCAACAATGTTCCTGCTTAAGTGCTGCTTTAGCAGTTGTATGTCCCATCCCACTTTCCCACTTCCTTCAAATTCTTTATCCGTATACATTTATCCAGAAGTTATATTTTACATAACATAGTTTTTATAATGCTGGCATTGAAAAATTATGCTTACTTCATCGGTCTTGTGAAGATTTTTACCAGCCTTAAATCTTAAACGAATACAAGTTATGTGTTTTAAAGTCAATTATTTCCTAAGATGTTTTGTCAAAAACACTGAGGATGGTGACCTGGAGTAATTTACTAAAACATTGTTTTTATATTTGTCTCACAGACGTTTAGATTTTATCATAAGCAAGATTACTCTCGATTGCTTGATTACGAGGCTTCAATGTAAGTACCATACTAGTAATATTTCCTTTGTAGTGGTAAGATACAGTTCTTACAGCTGCAGGCCTCTCAATAAGGTTCACAGCATATAAAAGTAGATACTGTTGGGACGCATGAACGTAGCAGCTGGTAGCTTTGATCTGAATTTACTCATACTTCATAGCTCTACTGAAATCACAGACTAGAAAATCCTATTAATTACGGACACTGGCGTAAGCATAACACTATAAATTGTAGAGCAAACTGCTGGTTGTTAAAAAGTTAACACTTGTATTCCTCATGCCACCCCATGTTATACAGCTGGCACATGACAGTTATTGACTCTTAACTAGTATTGACTTAATTAGCACCAATTTGTCACTGCAATTTATGCTGCTGTCCCTGTGGTACCATACATACATAACAGAATCCCAAGTAGTGATACTTAAATTAAGCATATAGCTTAAAAGTTCAATGTGTTTTAATCAGTCTGCTGTGTGTGAATAGTAGACTGACTGAAATAAAGGAAATTTAAGCTACAGCCCTAAGTGTCTCAAGCAAGCGCAGTTGGATGTTGCTTCTCACCAATCCTCTTCCTTCTTCTTCTTTGGGAAATTTTTCACCACCTTTGAACAGCTGTGCCAACAAGCACATGGCAAATGCCCAGTTATGTGACTGGCCTCTCTGGGGTCCTGGAGTCCTCTTGGAGGGGTTTCCAGGTTTCCTCGCATCTGGCAGTCTTCTTCCTTCCTGCTCTAGCCTCCCCCCCTCATGAGATCTGCTAGTCATTCTCTCTGTTTTCCCTGTCCTTATCTGCCTGTTCCCCTTCTTCTCTCCCTTGCTTTCATATCACTGCCTTAGGACCCTCTATTTCTTCTCCTGACGCTCCGTTTTTTCCTCCTTTGCATTTTCTTGCTCTCCCCTTTCCTGTCTCCCTTTCTTTTTTCTACTGCCTGCAAAGGGTACAGCATCTTCTCACTTTTCCTGCTATTGATTTATTCCATCACTGTGTTTAAGCCTATTACCTGTGTCATATCTGTTTGCATCTCAGAGTCTTTTGCTCTTCTTTTGTGGCATCTTAAGACAGGTTCCTGGGTTGTGATTTGACAGCCACTGACAGGGGCAGTAGCGTCCCTGTGCTGCTCAGTCATATGTACAGCCTAGTGAGGGGTCAGGGGGAGTGGTGAATGTTCTCTCGATTCCTTTCTATGTCCATTTGTAGGGTCAACAACAGTTCCATACAAATGTACTGAGTGCACTGTACTGTCCGCGGCCTTGGACATTGGTATTGATTGATTGATTGACTGACTGACTGCTTGGTTGGTTGATTTTCCTCTGCTTTTTCCTTTAAAAGGACCCAAGGCAACTTACATAAATTAAAAGACAATATCTAAAGCTAAAAACAGTAATTATACAAATACAGTGGTGCCTCGCTTAACGAGCGCACCATTTAACGACAAATCCGCATAGCGATGCGGATTTTATGATCGTTTTTACGATCGCATTGCAATGTTTTAATAGGCTAAACATCGCATTGTGATGATCGGTGTTTCACTTACCGATCTTCGCATTGCAATGTTAGGGAAACAGCTGATCGGCGGTTCCAAAATGGCTGCTGGATCAAGAAAATGGCCACCTGCAGCATTTTCGCGCCCTGCCCTCGCTTACCGAGGTGGAGGGAAACAGCTGATCGGCGGTTACAAAATGGCCGCCGGATCAAGAAAATGGCCACCTGCAGCATTTTCGCGCCCTGCCCTCGCTTACCGAGGTGGCGAAAATGGCGGCCGGATGGGGAATCTTCGCTTACCGGTGAGTTTTCCCCCCCCCATAGGAATGCATTAAACAGAGTTTAATGCGTTCCTATGGGGTTTTACATTCCGTTTAGCGATGTTTCCAGAACGGATTAACGTCGCTATGCGGGGCACCACTGTACTAAAAAAGTTCAAACAAATATCACACTAAAACACAGTAAACAAAAACAACACCAAAACCACATTCAAAGCAGTAAGACATAGCAATACATTAAAAAACAGCACACAGACAGCCAGTTACCAAGGGAAATCCTGCCTGAAGAGAAACATATTTGACTGCTTGCAGAAGGACAGAAAAGATGGGGCCAGTCTGGCCTCCCATGGGAGGGAGTTCTAGAGACTGGGAGCAGCCACAGAGAAGGGCCTCTCCTATGTCCTCAACAAATGCACCTGTGAAAGTGGTGGGACTAAGAAAAAGGCCTCTCCTGATCTTAACACTCAGAAAGGGACCCATAAAAGGAGATAAGTTCCTTGAGATACCTTGGATCAAAACTCTACAAGACTTTTAGAAGTCTTGTAGAACAGAGTTTCTTGAAATGACACTATCTAGTACTGGCCCATAAAAGGAGATGTTCCTTGAGATACCTTGGATCGAAACTTTTTAGGGCTTTATAGAAGTCTTGTAGAACGGAGTTTCTTGAAATGACACTATCTAGTACTGTTGTTGTTATGTGCAGTCAAGTCAAAATTACATGTTCCTCCATGATACAGAGTCATTTGCACCAGCACAAGCTGGGAAGTGAGGTGTACATGTGGAACAAAGAAAGTAGAGGCATGCATCCATACAGACAAGTCACTGCTGACCTGACTGATGACAGCATGGATGGCACAGCCTTCCAAATAAGGGAATGAGAGAAAGTCACAAGGAAAGTGTATCCAAATTTAGGGCTTTCTGCATCATACTGATGTGAGTTTAATTTTCTTGCCACTGTAAGTACACTGCATGTAATGATGGTTAAACATAGAAGATCACAGGACCATGCTATTAGTGGTGTACATTATTTAGCTCTCAAGTGCAGATAAAGAACATAATGCTACTTTTTATTATATAACCCTGTGTGGATTGTCCTTTGACTCAGTGGCCGAAACCCAGTTGTACATCACAACTAGAATACGCCCATTGAATCAGTGGGACTTACAGAGCATTTGACTCAACAAATCCACAGTTTCAATAGCCCCACTTGAGTTGCAATTTACTGCTGAATTTCAGCCACTGTGAGAGAACTGAACATAGCAGGCTTTTTGATTTTTTTTAATCAAAGTGAACAATAGAGAATGGAATATTGAGTCTTAACCTTTCTCTTACTGGCTCAGAATGATAACGTAACACTGCTACATCAGAAAAAAAAATCCCAGGCAGTGAACAGCATTAAAAATAGCAAAATACAACTAAAATATCAGAATAATTCTGTCATTAAATCAGGCTGGATCCTTATCCCTGATTTGCCTTTTGACTGACCAGGAGCACCTCTGTCTTGTTTGGATTAAGTTTGATGGTCCTCATCTATTCCATTATTGACAGCAGGCACTGGTCTAATGGTCCTCGTCCATTCCATTATTGACAGCAGGCACTGGTCTAGGCATAGAACAACTGGAATCAGCAGGAAAGGAGAGATAGAGTTGGGTGACATCAACATACAGATGGCACAGAATCCCAAAATTCCAGATAACTTCTCCCAGCAGTTTCATGTAGATGTTGAATAGCATAGGGCAATGGTCCTCAGTCTAGGACTTCCAGATATTCCTGAACTACAACTCCCAGAAGCCTTCACCACTACTTCACCAGGATTTCTGGGAGTTGAAGTCCAAGAACATCTGGAGGCCCAAGTTTGGGGACCACTGGCATAGGGGACAGGACTGAACCCTGGAAGACACTACAAGCTAAATGATAGGGCAGTGGTGGTGAACTTGTTTGAGCCTGAGTGCCCAAACTGCAAAAAACACCCCCCAAAAAACAAACAAAAAAACCAACCCAGTGGGCAGTGGCAGATGTGGCAGAGGCGAAAGCAGAAGTGGTGGCAGAAGTGGGAATCCCGGAAAAAAACAAACAAAAAAAGCAACCCAGTGGGCAGTGGTAGATGTGGCAGAGGCGAAGGCAGAAGTGGGAATCCCGGGCATGGAGGTGTCTCCAGACCCCACTCCAGATCCACCTCCAGTCATGCCCAACCCTGCCAGTGCCACCTGCTCTGGATCCTAGCCTGCCGCCTGTCGGGGTGCTAACTCTGCAGCTGTAGCTGCCTTCTCAGGTTTGGCTGCTGGGGGTAGTGATCCAGTGACTTATGGCTCACATGCTCACAGAGAGGGCTCAGTGTGCCAGCTGTGGCACACATGCCATAGGTTTGCCATCGCTGTGATCGGGTGTCACTCAAGCAACAATTCCCTCAAAGCCACCTTCTGAGTTCAGCCATCCAGGAAGCATGAGAACCAAAATAGTACCTCAAAGACTCATCCTAAAAAGGTACCCCAGAAGAATACCGTGGTTGATGCTATTGAAAGCCACAGGGAGATTCAACAAAAACAACAAGGACACATTTCACCATCCAGTTCCTTTTGGTCATCCACCAAGTCAACCAAAGGTGTTTCTGCCCCATGACCAGTCCTGAAGCCAGATTGAAATGGCTCTAGAAAATCTGCTTCATCCAGGAACCTTTGGCCCTGAGACACCGCCACACACTCCAAAAATTTGTCCAAAATGAAATATTGGAAATTAGTTTATAATGAGATTCAAGGAAGACTTTCTAAACAAAGGTCTTACTACTGCTTCCTTTAGGCATTCTGGTACAATGCCTTGCTTGCAAGGAGATATTCATTACTCCCCTAACCAACTCAACTAGTCCCCCTCTGGCTGCTTTTTAAGCTAGGAAGGGCAAAGCTCTAGCACACGTGGTGGATTTCACATCTCCAGAGATCCTGTCCACATCCTTAGATAGCACAAAATTAAATTTATCCATTCGTAAAGGATGGGTGGAGCAAAAGTTATATCAACAAAACCTGCATCAGCTACAGCATCTAAGGCAGAGCAGATCCAAGTGACTTTGTTTGCAAAGTACCTGTGAAGTGTTTGCAAAAGGCAAACACTTCATAGCAGGGCATGAAGTAGTCAATAGCCCTCTCTTGTGCACACCTGTGCAACAGGCCCTTGCCCACCCGAAAGAGCTCTGCTGGACAGCTCTGTGAAGACACAGTGGTGGCAGAGAAGAATAGCTTCTTTGGTGCCACCACTCATACGGAGTAGGCTTTCCAATAGGCTCTAGACCATGTTTGACCAGATCTGCTATGAATTTTCCATCATAATTGCTCTACTCATCATCCACAGCTCCCTTGTAAACCAAGGAGATAATTTGACTGCACTCCATGGAAGTGGAGCCATTATATCAATAGCCCTGGCCATTTTCCTATCCAATAGGCAATATTTACAGTACTTTTCACAGAATTATGTCCTCTTCTAAGTGTCAAGACATTATAGTAATATGAAATGGGAAGAACAGACATGAATAATGAAAACAAATGATGGCTGTATTATATTAATTTCAAAGCATGTGAAAATGATAATAACTATTTTTTCTGGGTGGTAATTTCTATACAGAAGACTATCCCAGGGCATTATGACTGTTGAACTTCATCCTTCTTTATCTGGAAAAACATGTGATTTAAAATTCAAGGTATGCTTTCCTGAAAAAAAAATCAATGACAATTAAATATAGTGATAAGTATATGGGGAGCCATGTTTGACAAACATTATCCAGTAATAGTCCTGCTGGATAGCTCAGCATTTTGGTATCTAGCTGTGGAGTCAGAAGTGGGCAGTTTGAGTCCCAGCTATACCTCTAAGATTGGGCTGGATTTGATGATCCATAGAGTCCCTTTGAACTCTGCAGTTCTAAGGTGGTGGTGATGATGATGGTGATGATTTATTTATTTATTTATTTAATTTATACCCCGCCTATCTGGCCTACCGGACCACTCTAGGCAGCTGATGAGCATATGACTGCATGAGTATATTTGTCATTGGTGATGGGGGAAAGTGTTGTGAGAGAAACAACTATTAAAATTTTTCTCAATAGCAGAGTACCATATTTTTCCATGTATAAGACTATACCTTTGTCTAAAATCTTTAGACTAAATTGAGGGTCATCTTATACATGGAAGTAAGCTGAGGAGAGAGAGAAACAAGTGGAGGGGAAAGCAGGGATCAAAGTGATCCTGTAGGGCTTTGATCCCTGTTTTTCCCTCCACTTGCTAAGCCTTAGCAACAGGAAATCAGGGATCAAAGTGCTACAGGATGACTTTGATCTTTGCTTTCCCCTCTGCTTACTAAGTCCAATGGGGCTTAGTAAAAGGAGAGGGAAAGGCTCAAAGCAATCCCATGGCTGTATAAGGGGGAAGGGATCAAAATGATCATGCAGTCATGGGATAGCTTTGATCCCTTTCCCCCTCCTTTTGCTAAGCCCCATGGGGCTTAGCACGAGGGGAGAAAGCAGGGATCAAAGCGATCCTGCAGTGCTTTGATCCCTTTCCCCCTATACTTGCTAAGCCCAACTTAGGTATCTTAATTTTGGGTTAGAAAAGTGGGGGGCATCTTATACACGGAAAAATACGGTAAATGGTGCATTGACATATGGTCAGGGTTTTCAAGGTAAGAAAGGTTCAGCAGTGGTTTGCTATTGCTTTCTTCTGTTCAATACTAATAAAAGCTAGTTTGAGTCACACTCATGCAAGACCCAGTGAAAAAGGCAATAATACTAGAAAAAACTGAAAACAGCAGGAAAAAGGAAGGTCAAATATGAGATAAATAGATTCCATAACGGAAGCCTTGAGTTTAAAAGTGCTGGGTAATGTTGTTGAGGACAGGATATTTTAGAGATCACTTATTCAGAAGATCTCCATAACTTGAAGGTGACTTAATGGCACATAACAACAACAGATGATTGGGCTGTTAATCCCCTGGTAAAGCACGTTGTTGTTATGTGCTGTCAAGTTGGAACCAATTTATGGTGACTCTAATGGGGTTTTCAAGGTAAATGAGATTATTTAAGGAGTGGTTTTACCAGTTCCACTCCCCCAGTCAGTTTCCATGGTCAAATGAGGATTAAAAACGTGTTCGCCAGAGTGCTAGTCCGGCATTCTATCCACTACACTACCAGCATGTAGAAACATTTAAAACCAACAACTAACCTTTATTAAGAAAGTTAAATTCAATATAGAAAAGCTTAAACTGTAATTCTAACTAGGGAGACATGTGCCCTTGGAGTATACACGGGCAAACAGCAATAACATGGCTATTCTTTGGAGAGTCAACAATGGAAAAGGAGAGACAGATCTCTGAGATACACACAGGAGGAAGTAGAGTCAGAGAGTGAAAGCATAGACTTAATCTATGGCTACTATACTTCCAAATGCCCCTTGTTATCATTTAAGCTGGGTAGATACTAAGAGATAATCCATGGAGAAAAGCAAGTCGAGAAAAAGCATACTTACTCACAATTTATATTTGATGTAAATTACTTCAAGTTTCTTTGGCCTAAATCCAACTTGATGCTGAAGGTAGAGCTGGCCATTTCAACCTCACCACACCCCTGCACAACCATCAAAGCTGCCTGAAAACTTAATCCACAGGGCTATGTAGACCTCTAGAGAAGATTTTCAGAGTGTCTAGTGTCTACATGAAGGATAGCTAATAATTACTACCCTATGCTGCATTTTGCCTTTGTCTACATGGAGGTCTAGAGCTGATATAGGTACCACAATATGGTACAGTTTTAAAAGGTTAGGAAATAGAGGATAAAACTATAGATTTAATAATTAGACTGTATATGTCATGATATATCTGATGGTGTTGTTACCCTGTTTTCCTGAAAATAAGATTTAACCTGAAAATAAGCCGCAGTATGATTTTTCAGGATGCTCATAATATAAGCCCTACCTCAAAAATAAGCCCCAATTAAGTGAAACCCCACCCTCCACCATTATGCAGCAACCAGAAGATGACATGACTGTATTTGAGCAAATGTAAATTGTTGTACATGAAAAAAAATCCCCTGAAAATAAGCCCTAATACGTTTTTTAGAGCAAAAATTATTATGAGTGTGTCTTATTTTGGGGAAACACAGTAATAAAGTTTTCGTATCAGGAGAAAGTTACAACTTGAGATCTGATGCAGAAAGTACACCCCTGAAGTGAAATAATTTGGTTTTTCACAAGAGAATAATTAATTTGAGAGAATATTTTTGTACAATTTCTGTGTGAAAGATGAGTAAAATTTTATATAGATATTAAAGCTTTTGAGAAATGTATAAATCTGCTTTTCCTAGCCATTGCAAAGTATTTGCAAATGTCCCATCTAAATTTTTTAAAACGCCAAATATATGTAAGTTCAGTACTTCAATACAAACACATACAACCTTGTTTTGGTAATGTTGCAATGCTGCAAGATGAATTTTGATGGACCTTAGGGTAGCTGAATACCAAGGAGAAGAAAAATGGAGTATGCTTCATGAAGAGAAAAGGTAACAATAAAGATTTGTTTCCATATTTGAATACATTTTAAATCTTTAGTTCCAATGCTGGTTTTGTTCTGCAGTGAGGATTTTAGATTTGTGTTATGTAACCCATTAGGAGACTAAAATATTACTTTGCAACTTACTTTGAGGAGGTATTTTTTATTATTATAAGTGCATCTATATGTTCTAAATGTGACTTTTTTTCCTTAGCTCACTCACTTAAGAGTTGGTTGCCCTCCAGGGAAAATACTGCATGTTTTAGGGCAAGTTCATTTCCCCTTATTCTTCTTTATAGAATTTAACTATAGAATTTGAAATAAATGTTAAAACAATCACATTTACTTGTTTATTTGCATGCCTCACATCCTTTCTGTGTAGCTGAGAAATATTAGCTGAAACCCTGTTGCCCAGTTGCACACATGACAAAACTTATCTTTTGCACTCTGAGTTGTGTGACTTAGTATGCAGTAGATACTGTTAGTAGAGATTTCTTTACTTACGGCAATCCACTTCCAAAAGTTATGTCATTTACACAACAGGGAAACAGGATTTCAGCCACAAATTCAGAAGAGTGCTCTTGGTGTGTCACATACATGCCTTCCCTCCCTCCAAAAATGTTTGTTTTTAACACATGAGCTTATAGTTCACTTGCATACTCCAGTTTGCTCTCTCTGTGCAATTGGTTGTTGATGTAGGGGACAAATGGGAATGCAAAGGACTGCTTTTCTGTTTAATGTATAGACTCTTCCACCCTCTACTTTGAAGACATGGTCAATTGCCCATGCATATTGTGACTGGCTGGTTCTGCTTACCACGGTTTGAGCTGCCCTCTGCTTTATCAGCCACCCAAGGTGAAAACAAAGTATATGGAGATAACCGTAACACAATGTATGAAAATCACTATAGATATAGTGATTCAGAATCATGGCAGAAAATACTTTTAAAGCATAGCTGATCAACCAAGAAACAGACAAAAGACAGTTCCAAATAACAAAGAACTCAAAAAGCCAACATGGCTAAAATGAAGGTGGTAGTGTGTATGAAAAGGATTTATTTATTATTGATTGATTGATTGATTTGATTTGATTTGATTTGATTTGATTTGATTTGTATCCCGCCCATCTGGTCTGTTCGACCACTCTGGGTGGCTTCCAATAAACGTATATACAATAAAACACAGAGACTTTACAAACAATCCATAACACATACAATAATAAAACAGATAATAAAGAAAGAAAGAATAAAGGAAGAATTAAGTATTGACAGGAGGGAAGGCCTGAATGTACATCCATGTTTTTAGTTGACTCTTAAAAGTGCCCAGCATGGGGGCACACAAATCGCCGGAGGAAGGTTATTCCAGAGGCGAGGAGCCACTGCCGAGAAGCCACCGCCAAGAAGGCCTGTCGGCTTCCCTCAACAGGTCATCATACAGGGCGACCAATGCCATCTCTGTACCGTGGCACGGCCTGAAACCCAACTGAAACAGATCCAGGCCATCTGTTCCCTCCAAGTGGGCCTGAAGCTGGTCGGCGACCACCCTTTCAACCACTTTGCTCATGAAAGAAACATTTATCTCTCTTTTTTAGTATAATTGTACAAATTGATGTTAATGTACTATTTCACTCTCTGGAATTTTACCCTTTCCCTATCCATACCCACCCCCTTAACCCTAAATTCCCTTCCCATAATTCTGCCCCCATTGAAAATAATAAAAAAATTAGAATCGCAAAAAAAAGAAGCAAATGGATCTGGCTGAGTGATACTGAGCAGATAAAACTGAACATGGTTGTCTAAGTTGCATTTTTGTCTAGTAAGTTAGGATATGAACTCTGAGTAGCATAAACTCAGTTAAAATAAATAAACCATAATTTATCGTGATGTCTGAATCAACGATATGTGATGGGAGATCCTTGTAAACTTACCTACTCATCGTACAAAAACTCCACCTACTACTTCAGTCATTCTGCAGATGGAGAGCCAGCATGTTATGAGCTGTGATCTTCAGCCACCACTACAGGGTAGACAGCTATTATTTATTTATTTATTTATTTATTGGACTTATATACCGCCGCATACCGCTACAAGCACTCTCCGGGCGGTTTACAATTTTAATTATACAGGCTACACATTGCCCCCCCAGCAAGCTGGGTACTCATTTTACCGACCTCGGAAGGATGGAAGGCTGAGTCAACCTTGAGCCGGCTACCTGGGATTTGAACCCCAGGTCGTGAGCAGTTTTAGCTGCAGTACAGCGTTTTAACCACTGCGCCACGAGGCTCTTGCTGTTATGTTGACTATATTTGTGCATCCAATATAATGCAGTCATCCTGTTTTCTTTGAAGGAATTCAAAGCAATTAATAGCCGTCTACCCTGTAGTGGTGGCTGAAGATCACAGCTCAGTTAAAACATGCATCTGGATCTCCCTAATCCTAGTCCAGCTCTCTAATACTAGTCTACACTATTTTAGATAACTTATACAAATATATCCTTCATTTCCCTTCATTGCGTCAAGGATATACGTATTCCTGTGCAAAGGATGGGAAAATGCTGTGTAACATAATAATACTGGCTTGTTTAATATTTTTTAAATGCTTCAGATGATACCTTTTTGTACAACTACAGTGGTGCCTCACATAACGAGCGCCCCGTTTAATGACGAAGCCGCATAGCGATGCGGATTTTGTGATCGCAAAAGCGATCACATTGCAATGTTTAAATAGGGAAAACACTGCATTGCGATGATCGGTAAGCATTTCGCTTACCGATCTTCGCATTGCGATGTTTTAGAACAGCTGATCAGCTGTTCCAAAATGGCCGCCGGGTCAACAAAATGGCCGCCCGCAGCGTTTTTGCACTGATTCCTCGCTTACTGAGGCGGCGAAAATGGCGGGCCTATGGAGGATTTCGGCTTAGCGGTGAGTTCCTCCCCCATAGGAACGCATTAAACAGGGTTTAATGCGTTCCTATGGGGTTTTTTGCCCCGTATAGCGACGTTTCCGGATAGCGACGATTTATCCGGAACAGATTATCGTTGCTATGCGGGGCACCACTGTATTAGGACAACAGTGGGTTAGCAGAGAGACAGCTGTAAATAAGGACATTGTAATTTCAGGTCTTACCATATAGGTCTTACCATGCATTTGGCTCCTCTGTCATTTAACCAAGATGGCTCTTGAAGCTTGAGTTGCAATCGAAGTTTATATATTCTGATCCTGAGTGGTTATCTCATTAGTAAGTAAGAAAAGATCTGCTACTCACGATGTGATCCTGGAAAAATACACTGATCTGACATGAATCACAGAACCCTAATTGGATAATATGAGTGAAGATTTATCCCCACTCTAGCCATCATATCTCTTCATGAACAGTTGGTTGATATAGAAGAATGAGAAGGAAAAGTTCTATGTTCTGTGCAAAATTTCATCTCTCTGACTAGGTGCTCATGTATTCCTTAGTCTGAGTGTTCAGCACAAAATAGGGGTTCTGACTGGTCATCTTTCCAACCACCATGCTCTCTGCCTGAGATATTTTATCAGGCTGATTGTCCAGTGGACTTCAATATTAATCACATGTCTCTCTAACAAGGCCTGTCCTAGGGCAACATGTACTTGATTGTGCTTAATGGGATTATAATCCCTTTGTTTTGAATAGATTGCAGTATGGTAGGATTTAGGCTCGCTGGGACTTCAGACTTTTGGTAGGTTGAAGGCCACCAAGATGGTCCATTCTAGCAGACTGATAGAGCAAGTTCACTAACAAATTGTTACTTATCTTAAACATTTTCAAGAAAGGTAGGATAAAAATAGTTTACATTAATAAAATAGTTACCTCTCATCAAAATAAATCATTGTCAGACACCGTTTTTAAAAATTGTTATTATACTTGTATATAATTATATTTCTGTATTGTGTTGTAGGAAACCTTCAGAATGTGACGATTTTAAATTTACAGTACCTTGGTAAGAAATGTATGCAACGTATAGAGCAAATAGTACTTTAGAATGTTCCTGGTGTCATTTGACTCAGAGGGTATTGATAAAGCAATGGGCTTTAGAAACTCTGCTGCATATCAAGGTCTTTCTCTGAACAAAATAGTCAGCACTGTCGGCTCTGAAAGTGCTAATAAGCACACTCAGGGTGCAACTTAATTGCCAAATTGAATTGGGCTGGATTGGCCAGAAGAAACTGCAAACTGTTGTTGTTGCAGCTGTTAGTTCTGTGTGGCTTGCCAATCAACCAGTCCAGTGCTGGATACAAAAAATTAAAAATTCACTTTTGCATCTTGTTCTGTTCCTCCTCTGTAGGGAAGCAGGAGAAAGCTTTAAATGTCCTACTAACTAGTTAACATGTGAAGTGGCTTAAGCAAAGAGAAAACCAGCCATCTGCTTTGGTGCAGGTAAATATGGCTAAGAGAGAGGCTGGTTTGTGACTGCCTGTCATGTGGTCACTGGAAAAAAGAATGAACCATCCCATCCCCAAAGTAGAGCAAAGCTTGGGACAAAATCCTATCTAATTGCACCTTTACTCTCTCTCTCTCTCTCTCTCTCTCTCTCTCTCTCTCTCTCTCTCTCTGTGTGTGTGTGTGTGTGTGTGTGTGTGTGTGTGTGTGTGAGAGAGAGAGAGAGAGAGAGAGGCTTTTTCAGGAGCTTTTCTTGCCTTCCATAATTTGCACAAAATTTCTGAGTAGAATTATTTCACAATAAAATTGTAAAATAATTGCCTAACAAATAATTTTATGCCTAAAATTAGTGCCACTAAACATAACAGTTTGGGGAAGACAAAAGATCCACCCAGTAAAGAGAACAAGAGAAATACCATTTTTGGAATTGTGCTACCAAAAATGATAGAGGAAAGATGCAGAAAAGCAGCTGCTTATATACAGTGTTTAAAAACACAAAACAAAAAAGACTACTTCTTTACAATATTCTTTATTACAGAAAAAAGTTAAGTAGAACTTCATGAGGAGTTTATTTTAGATTGTGAGCAGCTGCATAGAATAGAACAAAGTAAATATTTGTTGATTGAAACATAAATACTGTATACAACCTTTGTGTATTAGTCCAGTGATTGTCATTTTAAAAATGATTTGTTTTTTAAATGTATATTAATGTAATAACCTGTTTTTAAATTTTAAAAACTTCTATTCAAAAATAATACAACCAACAAAGAGTCTTGTACTATCTTAAAAACTAGCAAATGTTGTTATGCATAATATTCTGTGAAATGTAGGCCATTTCTTCAGGTACACTGGAAGTAGTAGGCTATAGTCCAAAAAAACCTATCAAATTAAACTTAATCTCTAAGGTGACCCCAAAATCCTTGATTTTGGTCCAGAGGATTAATATGGGTACTCCCATGGAAATTTATGCAAAAGGAAGTTCTGTACTATTGTGACCAATAGTTGTCTCCCCTGGTTCTTTCTACTAAATTAATCCTTTTCGGTCTTTTGGTACATTGTGTCAAAAAGAGGCAAGGCTCTGAAAGCTGCAGATCTCTCTCTATAGCCCTATTCTTTGGCAAGGGACATATTTTACCAGCTTATGAAATTACACACACATTAATAGATCTGAACTGTGTATTTTGTGTGTGTTACATCTGAAAGAGGGTGGAGAGTGTGTGCCCAGTCCTCCACTGCTAAGCTCTGAATTCTCATGGCAGCAAGCAGTTGTTATAATGCCTCATCATGGATGGTGACTGGACATCTTCAAAGTATATTATGGTAGATGAAGCAGAGGGAAGCTTGAGCAAAGTAAAGTGTTAGCAACATCTGGATTTGGGCTAGAATTAGGCATTGACAGTCAGGACCTTGGACAGAGCACTGACTAGAGGCTTCTCATTTACAGCAAGAAGAGCTATTGTTTCAGTAAAGTTTAAAGGACTTTGGATACCTTATAAACCAGATGTGAAGAAACTTTGGTTCTCTAGATGCTTTGGATTTGATCTCCCTCAAATCCCAGGTAACATGTCTAGTGTTACAGCACTGCATACTTCAAACATCTGGAACACCAAAAGTTTCCCATCCCTGTTTCTGTGGAATAATGCCTGTTTGGAGCTGCTTGGATGTTTAACTGCCATTGCTTTATTCACCAGTTAGTGGCCCTTTTTTGAAATAGAGGTGATGGTGGATGAATAGGAGAGAGTTTCTCTGACTTTAGTAAGTCAGGGAAAGCCATGTCTCATAATTGTAAAATACCCTGTGATGGAAGTGAAGATTTATCTTCCAGCTTGTTCTCTGAGTTGCAGGAGGAGTTAAAAAGGCCATAGTTCTATGTTGTAGAGTACATGCTTTGCAATCTCTAGCACTTCCGGGTAGGACTGGAAAACATAGGCCTCAAACCTCAGAGATCATTCTAGACAGTGTCAGCCATATCAGGCTAGAGCAGTGGTTCCCAATCTTCGTCAGTCCAAGTGTTCTTGGACTGCAACTCCCAGAAACCCTAGCCAGCATGACTAGTGGTGAAGGCTTCTGGGAATAGCAGTGCAAGAACACCTGAGTTACCCAAGGTTGAGAGCCACTGGGCTAGAGGAACCAAGTGTGAGACTCCGTATAAAGCAGCTTTCTAACAGGTGAGGCTACTGAACATGACGGTATGGGGAACATTTTCTCTCCAGTAGTGTATCAGACCAAAACAAACAAACAAGCAAGCAAACAAACAAACAAAAAAGACAAAAACATTATGGAACCTTAAAGGCTAACTGTTATATTTTAATGTGAGCTTTCGTGGACACTGTCTAAGGAAGTGGGCTTGTTCACTAAAACTCACATTAAAATATAGCAGTTAGTCTTTAAGGTGCTATAATTCTTTCTTCTTATTTTTTGGCCTGATGTGCCAGCACAGACTAATACAGCTATCTCTTCTAAATCTCCACTAGTAATTACTCTCATGAAGTTCTTTTGAGTCTTTCCTGTGAGAAGAGTGGGTACGTTGTAAGATTACTTCTTCTTTGTAGCCTCTGTGAATTCACACATTTGGGTTGCAGTCTGTGCTTGCACAGGGTTCCTCGGAATATTCCAGAGCTTTTTCTGCAAAAGTAACAATATTAAGGGTTGCCCCTATCGCGCATGCTCCGCCAGCCTCAGCCTTCAGTTCCATTTTACCGCTTAGGTGTTAGGAGCTTCTCGGCTTAGAGCTTTGCTGTTTCATCTTTAAAAACATTTTTTTTAACTTGGACTTTTTGGTTTACGGTTTTGCTGTCCCTCTGGTTGCCCTTCTTTGAATTTTGATCATCGTACGGATTACGGATTTACTCTATTGTGTTTTGATTTGGAGTGGTTTGCTTCCCGTGCTTTCTAGCGCACTGGACTTAGTGTTTCACTTGACTATGGACTGGTTTTGACTATTCCTTTGGCTTATCTGGCTTATTTGGACTACTCGATACTACTTTGGACTCTTTTGAATACCCTTTGAATTATTAGGACTTATTGTTTCCGGCCCGGACTGATTAATAACTTCTGTCTTCTGATTCATCCCGGCCGTGACTTGCTATTACTGGCTTCTTTCCTCGTTTTTTGTGAGTCCTTGAATTCTTTCCAGCCTACTGGTTTATGTCCCCGTCCGGTCCATTTAGAAGGTGTGTTTTGTGTACCCGTAAACTTCCTTTTTTGGACAGTCATGAACACTGCCTTTTTTGTTTGGGCCAGGTCATCAGCCCTGATCCTGCAGGCATTGTAAAAATCTCACAAAGCCTGCACTTAAAGCTAGGGAGCAGAGGCTTAAATTGTTCTGGGACAAGACCCTTTCGGCATCCAAGCCTTTCGCGATGGAGATCGGCTCAACTCCTTCCGCTACTCCCCACCCAGAGGCTTCTCTGTCCTCACCACCTCCAATAAAGACCAGGGCGGGAGAGAAAACACTAAAAAAAATCTGCCTTGTCTTCAAGAAAGTCACCCATCTTCAGAAGCCCCTTTGAAGCCCATCTCTGGATCTCCTGAAAATAAAAAAGACCTCCGCTAAGGGGAAGAAAGATAAGCCAACAACCAAAAAGGATCGGCCCCGAGATATTCCCCCAGTTTCCGCTTCATTGCCTTCTCCTATATTACAAGATTCTTCACGGGACCGTGAATCCCTGTCAGATGGCACTGTGTCACTGCCACATTGACAGATGCCTGGGTTACCATCGATGCCGAGCCGTTCGCCTAGTCCTCGCCAGCTAGAGAATGTAATTCCATCTAGCTCAATGTCTGCCCATTCAAGCCCTGTGTCTACCGGGCGGGCTACGATTATTCAGTTATCACCATCGGCTTCATCGGCGTCGATGTCTCCACCTCAAAAAAGAACAGCTAAGAAGATACTCATCTCTCCGCATAGGCATCGTTCTCGTCGAGAGATTGTAGTGATTCCTAGCTCTACTCAACATCATCAAAGGTCATCCTATGAGGACCCAGTTTACATCGATGTCAACAGGCAGCGATCCCGCCATCGACACCGGGAGGACAAGGTCAATGACGACTATTATTCGGAGCTGGACGAGCGCCTTAGGCAGAAAAAGGTCCGCTATGTTCATGCTTCTACATTGTCCTCATCCTCTCCATCTCCGCCTAGACATCAGCGTCGAGGCCACAACGTTGACAGAGCTGCTCTAAAGCGCCTGAAGCATCAGAGCACAAGCAAGACGACTACTTCTAAACTACCTTCCCACAGCAGTGCTAACAGGGCTGTATCTCACCCGCAGGAAGAGTCACAGCCCATTCAGTAACAAACTAGGCAATCTATTTCTAGGCATAAAACGCAGCAGGCAACACATCTGCCTCCTCTTTCCAACCAGAATGAGTCTTTTTCTTCTGCACCATCGGATCAAGAGCAGGAAAACTTTTCTGACTCTTCTATGGAAACCCCGGTGGATGGCAGAACTCCGGAATTGGATACTGCCGACCTACACGGATCCTCTCCATCAGAGGATTTCTCCTCATATGCCCAGATGGTCTCTAGAAAGGCCAAATCCTTAAAACTGGACATTGAGCAACCACCACCACCCAAGGAGGATTTGATTTTCGGAGACATCAACCAGGAACATTCCCCTCCTCTCAGTATTGCCTTTATTCCTGCTCTCATGGAATTGGTTAAAGAGTCTTGGGCAATCCCATCCACATCAGCTCAGGTCACTAGAAGGATTGAGAATCATTATCACACTCATGGAACTGATACTGCCTTTTTATTCAAGCACCCAGCTTCTAATTCCATTGTGGTCCAATCTAATCTAAGACAGGTGGAAGAGCTAAGGTGACTCCAACTAATAGAGAAGGGAGGCAATTAGATGTCCTAGGGCGTAAAATGTACTCTTTCGCCACCTTCGTTCTATGGGTAGCCAATTATCATGCGGCTATGAGCGTTTACCAGAGACAGTTGTGGGCTAAGTTTCTCTCAGCCCTTGAAGCAGCGCCAGATGATATGAAGGCTGATCTCCTTAATACATATTCAGAAGCCACCACAGTTGCTAAACACCAGAGGCTTGCTTCCAGACACTCGGCTGATGTTGCATCCAAGTCTATGATTGCTGCCATATCCTTACAATGGCATGCCTGGTTAAGGTCTTCGGGAATCAAGGAGGATGCCAAGTCCCAATAGAAGAGCTTTCCTTCGATGCCACAGATCTCTTTAATGAAAAGACTGATGATTCCATGGAGAACCTGCACAAGAAAAAGAAAGCCAATTCTCATACCATTTATCAGCAGCCTAAGCACCAAAGACAGTAATGCCGTAGGCCATATACTCAGCAGCAATATCAGCAGACATCCTCACAACCCTACCGTGCCTACAAACCACAGAACCACGTTAAGCCTGTACAGGCATCATCCGCTTCTGCTACTTTCAGGCCTCAAGGATCTTCTCAAAGACGTCAATCTTATCATCCACCTGCAAAGAAATCAAAGCATTATCTTTGACTTAAGGACCACGTCTCTTCCCGACGCAGATTCCCCTACCCAGTTGGTACCCTTTCTTCAAAATTGGTTAAAGATTACACAAGACAGTTGGGTGTTAAACATTGTTCGGTTCAGTTATTGACTAGAGTTTTCGAGCTTCCTCCTCTAGGAAACGTCAAATTTACTTCGTTCAATCCTGCTCTAAAAGAGGAAATTTTGGCTCTACTCAAAAAACAAGCCATTCAATGGGTGCAGCCACAAGACATCAGGAACGGCTTCTATTCCCATTACTTTGCCATACCAAAAAAGGACAGAGGTATCAGGCCAATCTTGGATCTCAGAGACTTGAATTCCTATCTTCGAACCCATCATTTTCGTATGGTGACCTTAGACTCCATCATTCACCTGTTGCGACATGGCAATTGGTTTGTAGTGATAGACTTACAAGACGCCTATTTTCATATCTCCATTCACCAACAGCATCGAAAATACCTCCATTTTTTCTTTATAGATACAGCTTATCAATTTGCACCCTTCCGTTCAGGCTGTCCACCGCTCCTCGCACGTTTACGAAGTGTATGGCCCCAATAGCAGCTCACCTGCGCCTCAACAACATCATGGTTTTTCTTTATATCGACAATTGGCTAATCGTAGCTGCTTCTCATCAAAAAGCCCTTCGAGACACCGAATTGGTTCTTCAGACTTTGCAAAATCTGGGTCTCAAGGTGAACTTCAAGAAATCCCACCTAGTTCCCTCTCGGGTAGTCAACTACATAGGAGCACGACTAGACTCTGTTCGGGCCCGCATTTTTCTACCTCCGGAACGGGTCCAAAAGATATATCGCGCAATCCACCCCTTTCGTCCTTTCTCCAGGGTCACAGCTCATCACACACAACATCTCTAGGTCTCATGGCCTCTACAACAACAGCTCTTCCACATGCACGGCTAAAGATGAGATCCTTACAGACTTGGTACCTGTCCCAATTCGACCTAATGGTAGACAGTCCAAGGAAACGCCTTTGTGTCACTCCGGAACTTGCAAAGCAACTACAGTGTTGGACTGTCCTTCCCCATCTCCTCATGGGACGTCCATTTCACCCACTACGTCTTACAGTACAGGTCACCACAGATGCCAGTCCCACAGGATGGGGAGCTCACTGCAGCACTCACCAAGTACACGCCCTTTGGTCCAGGCGAGAAGGTGTTCTTCATATAAATTATCTGGAGATGTTGGCAGTGATAAAGGCTTTCTGTGCATTCCTGCCACTAATACAGGGTCGTGGGGTTCAGGTAGTGACAGACAACACCAAGACCATGTATTATATAAACAAACAAGGAGGCACCCACTCCATGTCGCTCCTCTATCTGACAGTTCACCTCTGGGAATGGTGTTACGACCGGCATGTATTTCCTGTTTCCACATCAGAGAACGAAGTGATGGACAGGCTGAGTCATATGACAGGACAGACGCACAAATGGGAACTGGATGTGTCCAATTTCAAGATGATTTGTGCACGATGGGGTCATCCCAAAGTGGACATGTTTGCAACTCGGCTGAACGCAAAATGCGAGGTATTTTGCTCTTGTGCAGGCAGAGACCCCTCATCCCTGGTGGGTGCATTCATGGTCAAATGGCCAACAGAGCTTCTTTACCTGTTTCCACCAATACCGTTAGTTCAGAGGACCCTGCTAGAGATCCGGGAAGCAAGGGCTGATGTCATTCTGGTGGCACCATGGTGGCCTTGGCAGCCATGGTTTGCCACTCTCAAAGCAATGGCATCAGATTTTGTGAAACTACCACTTCTGCCTCATCTTCTTACCCAGAATACCAGCAACATCCATCACCCTGACCTGGAGTCTCTCCACCTAACAGCTTGGAGGATTCTCCCCTAATCCACAAAGTCCTCAAGAAGGCCAGAAAGCCATCTACAAAGCTTCTCTATACTTATAAATGGAATAATTTTCTGAAGTTTGCCCAGTCTAAGGGCTTTCAGCCGGTACCAGTTTCGTTGGAAGTCCTTCTTCACTATTTACGTTACCTGTTTGATCTTGGCTTGTCTCTATCAACTTTAAAGGTCTATATTTTGGGAATAGTCTCATATCAACCCTGTGATTCCGACTTGGCTCTTTTGTTCTCCCATTCTACTGTTAAATCTTTCATGAAAGGCCTGCACAACATTCGTCCATGGTCTTTACAGCTTGTCCTCCATGCTCTCACTCGTCGTCCTTTCGAGCTGATGGCTACTTCTGACATCAGACTGCTGTCCTTTAAAACATTATTCTTGGTGGCCATAACCTCTGCTAGAAGGGCCAGTGAGCTTGCTGCCTTGAGAGCAAACCCTCCTTATCTACAGTTTTACAGTGGTCCTTTACCCCAATGTCTCTTTCTTACCAAAAGTTGTCTCCAATTTTCGTCTTAACCAGTCTTTAACTTTACCTACCTTGTTTCTGAACCCTTCTTCAGATGTTGACAGATCACTTCATTCCTTGGATGTGAGACGTGCCTTAGCATATTACACACAGAGAACTAAGGACTTTCATGTTTCTCCCAAGTTGTTCCTCTGCTTTTTTGGTTCACGCAAAAGTTTGCCTGCTTCCTCTTCAACCATCTCTTGATGGATTGTCTCCACCATCAGTTTGACTTATGTACTGTCTGGCAAAGATCCTCCAGAACCCTTGAGAGCCCATTCCACTAGGGCTGTGATGACATCCACTGCGTTGTTACGAGGCGTGGATGTCTTGGACATTTGCAAGGCAGCTACTTGGTTCAATGCGTCTACATTTGTAGCGCACTACAGGCTTGACCTCAGGGCCAGAAAGGAAGCACGCTTTGGGAGAGGAGTTCTAACTTCAGTGTTGGAGTGAAGGCCCGCCTTCCGATAAGTGAAGCTTGCTAGTCACCCATATGTGTGCATTCATAGAGGCCAAGAAGAACAAAAAAGGTTACTTACCTGTAGCCATGGTTCTTCAAGTGGACCTCTGTGAATTCACACTTACCCACCCAGTCTCCCCAATATCTGTCACTTATTTTTAGTTTACTGGGTTTTCGGCTTTACAGGTGATGGATAAAATGGAACTGAAGGCTGAGGTGGGTGGAGCATGCACGATAGGGCAACCCTTAATATTGTTACCTTTGCAGAAAAAGCTCTGGAATATTCCGAGAAACCCTGCACCAGCACAGACTGTAACTCACATGTGTGAATTCACAGAGGTCCACTAGAAGAACCATGGTTACAGGTAAGTAACCTTTCTTTCCTGGGCCCTTACTATTGTGTTTAAGTTCTGTTTTTATTTAAGCTGCTTATGTTCTAAAGTTTTCCTTATTTTATCCCTATTACAAAAATTCCCATGGAACTTAGTGAAACTGAGATCCTATCCAAAATTGATATTTCAGTGGTATGTTCATTACTTTACTAATATCCCTCAAACTCTTAGAATATCCTGAACAGCTGGGGAAGGGGAGAGTCCCTCATAACCATCACCTACTATATGGCTCTCAGGTCTAGAACAACTTGCTGCAGTGCTTGCAACAGACTTTTATTCATGGGATCATCCACTTCTATTGTGGTCCTCATTTTCACTGCTTTTGTGGAGCAAGTTCTCATTAGTTCATCCTGGCTTTCCAGCTGCACCCCCTACTTCTGCACATCCTACTGGCTGAAATCTAGTAGTAAATCACAGCGACAGCAGACCAACTGAATCTATGGAATTTCTGTAGGAGTTGACTCACCAAATCCCCACTGATTCAATTAGCCAAACTCTATAATGACTACTTCATTATGAAATGGCAAAGGGATAGATAAATCATCTGCTATTTAGTAGTGTGGGCAAGGAAAATCTATACTGATTATATGACCACCAGAATACTTTCCAGAAAGTAAGAAGCCACATCAATTTGCATTGCTGTGGTTAACCACTCTTGGTAAATGTTGGTTACAGCTGAAAACCCATTTTCTCTCCTATTAGGAAATCTCTCAGGAACAAAACAATTCAAGAAGACTTGGTAAAAATTCTATATTTTATTATTAAAATATTATTTATTATTATTTATTATTATATCTATATTTTATTATGCAAATAGAAGGAAAAAGAAAACTTGTACTAAACTACCTTTCCTCTAGGAAATAGACTATGATCTCCAAACCTATGGTTGCCCAATAGATGTTCATTATGCAGATATATTTCGTCCTACAATTGGCTTGTAAGTAAAACTGAACAACTGTAGGTATCTAGAAAAATGCATTTAAAAGCCTTTATGCATTAATCCTTTTTGTCAAAACCACATTATAAAATTTAATTTAAGTTACTATTGGACAGTACATTTAGGATTTTGCAGAAGTGTATTATTGATTAATACAGGTTATGTTCTTAGAAGGAGATATATGTTAAGCAAAGGCAGAAATAAAGAGGAAAAGAAAAATGAGTTTAGTGTATTTCTTGAGAGTTTAATGTTTTAGTAGTTGTATTTGAGAGCCAATGGTTCCAAGTTTTCTCTTTCAGGTAGGGTGGAACTTCTAAAATTCCATCTTGTAGGTCACTTTGGGTACTTCTAAGGAGAAATGTGGAATAAAAATATTTTAAATGAATAAATAAATAAAATTACAGGAAGACAACCCGCAACGTATTTGACTCAAATAACTCCATTACCTCCCTCAGCCTCTTGGTGCTAGATACAGTGGCCAGAATCCTGTTGGAAAGTTACTCTAGGAGAAATCCTATAAGTTCAGTATCATCAGTATGCGGATACCACCCAACTCTATCTCTCCTTCCCATCTGATTCCAAGGAAGCTGTCTTGGTTCTAAACCAGTGCCTGGTATCAGTAATGGTTTGGACAAGGGCAAACAAACTGAAACTTAATGCAGACAAGACAGAGGTGCTCCTGGACAACCGGAAATCAGATGAGGGAATAGGGACACAACCTCTGCTAGATGGGGTTGCACTTCCCCTGAAAACTCAGGTTTGCAGCTTGGGTGTACTCCTGGATTCATCTTTGAACCTAGCTGGCCAGGTTTTGATGATGGCCAAGAGTGCTTTTGCATAGTTAAAACTGGTGTTCCAGTTGTGCCCATTGCTTGAGATGTCTGATTTGGCTAAAGTTGCATCCAGCTTGGATTACTGTAATGTGCTCTATATGGGGCTGCCTTTGAAGACAGCTCGGAAACCTCAGCTGGTTCACAATGCAGCAGCCAGACTACTGACTGGGGCCAGTTATAGGCAGCATATAACGCCCCGGTTACAAGTTCACTGGCTACCAGTCTATTTCCAGGCCCAATTTAAAGTGCTGGTCATTACATATTTAAAGCCCTATACAGTTTGGGTGTGGACCTTATCTCCTCATACAAGCTTTCTTGGTGTGTAAGATCATCAGAGGAGAGCCTCCTCTTGGTCCCATTGCCAGTGCAGGAATGGCTGATGGGGACACGAGAGGGCCTTCTCAGTAGCAGCTCCCAGACTGTGGAGTGCTCTCCCTCAGGAGACCAGAGTGGTCCCTCCCTTTTATGTTTCCACTGACAAATGAAGACCCATCACCTTACGTAGGTGTGGCGATCACCCTTGTGGCCCCTGTTTGTTCCCCAAACACAGAGCTAACAAGGCTCAGACTCTGACTGACTCTCTCCTCTCAGGCTCCACCTTTTAACATCTCTTTTGGTCCCACCTCTTAACCACATTAACATATAGCATGAATAATGCATAACTCATAGTATATAACTTGGGGTGAACGCTACATTAGGCTTTTAACAACCATAGTTGAATTCCTGAATGCCTTCTTAAAGTTAATATAGTTTTTAATTCTTTTTAATTTGCATTTATTGTATTTTAATTTTCATATAGTTAAATTTTTTAAGTTTGATTTATTATTTTTTAATTATAGTCTTTTTAATATTGTGAACTGCCTTGGGTCCCCTTATTTGGAAAAAGGTGGCCTATAAATTAAAAAAAAGAAACAAATAAATGAATAAATAGTCTCAGTGTATTGCTGTTCATTATTGAGGTGCATTCCAGAATGTGTACTCAGGTGCATGATAAGGCATGAACCAGAAATATAACTGTCACATCATTAATGAGTAGCAAGTTGCCCCATTCGTTACAGAGCTTCCCTCGTGTAAGCATAAAATTGCTGATAAGATTCTGATCAAGTATGTCTTAATGACTAGTATCCTGTGGCATATCTCTGAATATGCAATAGGAGTGATATCAGTGGGAGGCTGCTGCTAATAAAGGCATTCCTTTTTTTTAATTGCCTGTGTTGTGAATCTTATGCAATGATATGAAGTTATGTGCACACCAAAATCCAAAAAGGAACTCTTTAATTAGTGGTAATCTGCTGCTGACAATGATGGCACTTTCATTGCACAGGCAGAGCTACAAAACAGCATACTGGTAAATGACAAAAAGTTCTTCAGAAATAATATTTATTTTATTTTATTTTATTTATACCCCACCCATCTAAATCAAAGTCTACTCTGGGCAGCTAACAATAATAGATAAAATAAAAACAATATAATAAAATATAAAACTACAGTAGTAACATATTTCAAGTCGGGAAAAATATTCAAGTGATGACGGGGGGAAGCCTGCCTAAAGAGCCAGGTCTTAAATTGGCTCTTAAGAACACCCAGCGAGGGAGCCAGACAGATCTCTGAGGGCAGACTGTTCCAAAGGCGAGGGACCACTGCCAAGAAGGCCTGGTTTCTTGTTCTTTCTCTCTGGGCCTCCCTCAGTGTTAGGCCCCTCAGCCGCACTTCCTGGCTAGAACGAGTGATTCAGGTAGATCTAGGTGGAAGGAGGCATTCCACTAGATATTGAGGTCCTAAACCGTTTAGGGCTTTATATGTCATCATTAATACTTTGAAATCAATGCAGAAACGAACGGGCAGCCAATGCAAGGCAGCCAGAGTGGGGGGAAATATGCTGATATTTTCTCGTCTCACTGAGAAGTCTGGCCACCGCATTCTGCCCCATTTGAAACTTCCACATCAATCTCAAAGGTAGCTGACGTAGAGTGCATTGCAGTAGTCTAATCTTGAGATTACAAGCGCATGGACCAGAGTGGTAAGTGCTCCAACATCAAGATAGGGACGCAGCTGGGCAATCCATATATATTCTATATTCAGTAAGAGAACACTCCCCTCGGAGCACAGCATCATCTTCCCCTTTGCATTGTGAGAACGGAAGGGCTAGATCACCAGTTGAAAAGTGGTAGAACAAAGAAGTTATTTAATTCTTCCTCCATGTACTGCTCTTTGAGTCTGCAACCACCATCAGAAAAGCTGTTAAGCAGTACTAAGGCCAAGGGCCCTCCAGGGATTGGCTAGGCTCTCTAGCTATTTAAGGCAGGAAGCACTGCAATATTATGCCATGTCAGTGGTGGCACTTCCATCACACATAGAGAATGAAGAAGGGACAAAATGCTGTCCATCCTCTTGTTCCACAAACTGCCAAGGATGAGGGTGGCAGAAGTGTGCTGGAGTCATTCCCCAAACCTGTGCACCATGCTTTAAAATTATGATTGTAGCTATAGCTGCAGCATCTTCTCTTGCCAAAAAAGAGGTGGAGCCTCAGCCACCCAAAGGAGAAGACTCTGATGAAAAGGTGTCTGCCCACTCCAAAGAAGAGGCACAGAGGGTCTCAGTGTCCCAAACCTTAAATAGCAAATGGGCTGGTAGCTGCATGAGGTATCAGGCTGTTACTGGACCACACACTTCCTCCGTGGTAGTTGAGATCACCATACAGGTTGGCTCATACCAACTGTACACAGCTAGATTCTTCCTCCCTGCATAGCTCTAAGAATCCCTCAGCAGGGGTGTGGTAGAAAATTTGGAAATGCATGTAGTTATTATGCCAGTCATAAGAGAGGCTGAAAATGCAGAAAGCTGGCTTTATCCATATGAGCAAATGAATTAAAAAAATTGTTTCCACCAGGAACATATATTTTGTAAAGCTAATATTTTTACTAGCCCATTCAAGACTAAACAGCTGTCAAATAATTTACTTTATAGCAAAGATCACTTACAACAATATAGAGTTCCTGAGAAAACTGGATTATCTCTTAATTGCAGTGACATAACAGTTAAGCTTTGGGGAAAGAGAGAAGTCTGTGTTACCTGGTGTGGGTGCTTGCCAGGTGGGTCAGTGCACTCGTGATTGAGAGAGCTTCCTGCAATCCCCTTCTCCCAACACCCTCTAAGCCTCTTGTTCCTCGATGCTTCAGGAAGAACAAGCAGGTTGTTGCTCCGGGTTGCAAACCAATCCTGCAAGGTAGAAACATAAAAACCCACAAAGATATTTAAAAACCTCAGAGTACATAAGACACATGATTTAGAACCTTCAACTCCTCCCATTGTCTAAATGACAGCACAGCTGTAAAATTTTGTAATTTTATTAAAGAAATTTTAGTAAAACATACAGGTTCAGCAAAAGACTTAATGACTCTGGCAAGATTAATATAACAAAGCAGTTCCATATTATGGAAAAATAAAAATATTTTCAGAGTTTCAGGTGATTAGGAATCACTCCCACATAAAATAATAAAGTTATCTAACTCTAAGCTATAACATAGCAAAGTTCCAAGACATAAGCAAAGTTCAGCATGATAATAGTTACATGTTGGAGCAAAGATGAAGAAGCTTATTTCTACAAGTTAGCTGCTGCTTCACTACTCCATTGTTCCATCTAACCTTGCATCCCCTCATGATGGCTGAAACTATCCACCAATCAGATTAAACCAATAAATTGGTTTCTGCTGCATGAGTGCCCCTGGATCTTCACAGGTCCAAACTATCCACATCTCATGAAAAGCCAGGCTGGGAATTATTCTCAGAAGATATTCTAGAGCTACAGATAAGATTTCATAGGTGTTAGGGATGTCTTGGCTCAATTACCCACACATTATAAAGTATAGCCAAGCTATCCTTCTTCTCATCCTGGTGGAGCCAGTTTTTCACTACTTCACAGTTTCACCACATCTTCCTTTTCAGGTTTTGAGCACTAAGGCCCGCTATAACTCTTCCTTTTCTTTTTCAGGCAGCAGGGGAAAGTACTGCTGATACCTGTACATGTTACTTTTTTAAGAAGAGGCTGCTACAGCCACAGCTACAGTCTTCCTTCTCTTCACTTAGGAAACACCACAGCAGAGACCTGTGCAGAGCAATAGCAGCTCTGCAGCACAGCTAGAGGTCTGGGAGGTGGTGAGAGGCAATGAATTCACTGTACTCACTGCTTTATTGTCTGAGGCAACAGGCTAACAGTAGGGGCAGAGCTGGGGGGCGGTTGCCCCCATTGTTTCTCTACAGAAAACCGTGCCTTTCACTGGCAAAGGAGAAGTATTGGCTGAATTGGAAGACTTGTTGGATGTGGTTCAGGCAAAGACTTTTTAGTATATTTCTATGGTCTATAGAAGATATTGATTATATTTCTTTTGTTTTCAGATATATTGATAATGAATTTTTGAGTATTGTTGATGCAAACTATGTATTGTGGGAAATGAATGGCAGGAATGATTTTGGCTACAATGCAACTATGGAACAGGTAGATACTTGTAATGTTTATATATTGATGATTTGGGTGTGTAAAGAGGTGTTGAAAAGAAATATTTCTTGAAAATATATGTCTGTAGTATTTGATTACTCACTACAGTGTACCTCGTTCAAAATAGTGGCTGTGGTGTAAGCGTTAACACTGGTAGGGATAAGCCCCAGTTGAAATGGCCATATTTTCATTTAAATTTCCTTTTTTTCTTTCCTTTTACTTTCATTTCCCCCCACCTCCAACTTTTTCCCATACAAGAATTACACCTCCACACACATTTTGATATTTTGTGGCATCACATCATAATGACAAGCCAACGTATCCTGAGAAGGAAGCTAGCTGTCAGGTCATTGTGGTCCATCTAAAAAGATAGATGGGTATTATCTCATCTTCCAAAATCCATGTTTTCTTTGGAATGGGGTGTGCTGCTTGTGGAATTAGTGGATCTTAGAGGACAGAAAACCCAGCTCCTTCCACTCTGACACCTTCTTAGGTCTGGGTACCAGAGGAAAAGAAGACAACAAACATCAGCAAGGCTTATGCCTTCTTCATTACAGGTTGCCTGTAGATCTAGAAGATCTAATGTTGTTGATGGCTTACATAGTTTGGAGTTTCTGAAAGCACCAAACAAAGCATCTAAAATATCTCTAGGCAGATACAAAGTTGAGATCTAGGACCCTGAGCAAGATTGGCTCTTTCACTACCATTATTTGCTAGCTGGAGACTCAAGCGTATTTCAGAGATGAGAAAGGTTATAATATTCTTCCCTTGCCCCTTCAAGTTTTGCCACAACTTAAAAGATTAAGATTTACCATGTGACCTGAACCTGTTACCTGAACCTTCCACCTTGGCTTGTATAATCTATATCAGTGTAGACAATTTCTTAAGTTTCCTTTATGGGCGTTGTGTGAAATTCATTGCTGCTTATGCTGTACACTTTCTGATAATCAGTTTTGTATCTAGTGTGTGAAGCCCAATCCTGGAGTTCAATTGTGATTTGAGAGAATTGGTCTTAATGAATACTGTCATTGCCTTTGGCTGCTTTAAAAAAGCTCAGTAGAATATTTGAAGTTATAAGAGCCTCAGACAACTTTTGAGTGTCAGAAATATTTTTAGGCATGACGAATCCCATAAAAACACTTGGCAGTGCCAAAGCCCCACTTCATTTCTAATTGAGATATTTGGCAATAGTACCTAGCTGTGAAGTACAGCTTTGAGTTGTTGAAAGACCAGGTGGGTTGTGGAACTTCAAGGCTATGCATCTATCTTGGTGATGTAGCAGCCACACCCTGATTCAAAACAATCCGGATGGGCTGGAATACTTGGCCAAACCCAACAAGATAAAATTCAAAAACAAAGGAACAAATATAGAAGGGATAAAAGGAACTAGATTGGTAGTTGTTCAAGAAAATTGATCAACCTGATTTGTTCTAGCCCTCTCCTGTAAGAAATGTTAAATACTTTACTAAAAATTGCTACTGTCAAAATGTACAATAAACTGAGAACAGGGGTTGGCATTTAAAGGTTAATCACATTGAAGCACATTAATTTAAACCATGAAATAATATTCTAATATGACCCACAGAGTCATTAAATGACCTGTTATTGATCTCAATAATTTGGCATTTTAGGAGTCATAACAGAAAGAATTTTGTTTGGAATAACAGAGTAAATATTGTTCTTAGTCTACATATTAGCAATCTTATACTAAACTAAGAGTACCAGGAGAGGGAGTATGATATATGAGCACACTGAAGCGTTTACAATTACCATATTACTACAACTTCTGTCAATTAGTGGGGTCAAGCTGTAACTATTTTTTCTTTGCATGACTAACTTCATAGAAACATGAGTTTTCTAAACAAATTGCCATATTTACTATTAAAGAATTTCCAATCTTTACTATTAAATACTTGTCTGAAAGTTTGTGAAAGTACAAAAGCATGGGATGTAGTGTGTATGACCTTCGAAACTTACACATTTGTCAGAATTTGTTTTGTTTGTGGTATACTTTGTATGTTTATATTCTTTTAACAGGTTCGGTGTGTAAATAGGGCCCAGAGCTGGAATTCCATGATCTATAGTTATGGCATTAATGAAACGTCTTCCATTACACCTGAGGAAGCAGATATGATTTGGGGACCACATGTATGGAGTAGTACACTGCATCAATACAGTATTGAAATGAATCAGCTTCTAAGTTGTATCTAATATTAACTATACATATTCATGAGATGAGGGAAAGACAAATTGTTGTAAGCTGCCCAGAGACCTTTGGGTAGTGTGGGTGACATATAAGTTAAATAAATAAATGTATGATATTTCATATAGCAATCCAGTAATTATAGTTTTATGAACCATGGTCCTCCCACCCACCTGGTTCAATTCACATTGGATAGTTGTTAAAAATTGTCCTACATATGAGTTTCTAGTTGAAATGCTGCACAATCAGCCTCATGATTTTTTTCTCAGTGAAGGCACAGGTCAGATAATTACAACCTTGTGGCACAGTGGTTAAAATGCTATTCTGTAGCCAAAATTTCCATATGAGCCTACCCGGCAGTTAAGATCTAGCCAGGGAGCCCTTTTGAAAGAGCTGTCATCAAGGAGGTAAGAGGGATGGCTTGTAGACAAAGGGCCTTTTTGGCAGCTGCCCCCAGAATATGGATTGCCCTCCCAACTGAGATTCGTCTGCCATGGACGCTGATGACATTTCGGCACCAAGTCAAAACCTTCCTGTTCCAGAAGGCTTTTAATTGAAATATCAACTGTGGGTCCTGATGGCAATTTTTAGAGTATCTATTTTAATTGTTTTATCTTTTTATTGTATTTTAACTGTTGTAGGCCGCCCAGAGACCTTTGGGTAGAGTGGGTGGCATATAAGTTAAATAAATAAAACTGTGCTCATCACCCAGGGTTCAATCTGAGGTAGCCAGCTCAGGGTTAACTCAGCCTTCTGTCCTTCCAAGGCTGGTAAAATGAATACTGAGCTTGCTGGGGGGGATGCATTGTGTAGCCTGCATAATTAACTTATAAATCACTTAGAGAGTGCTTTAAGCACTATGGGACGGTATATAAGCAGCATGCTTTGCTTTACAACCTAAAATTTGTAAATTAGCTGTTTTTCTCTAGCTGCTTCAAACTCTATCTCGTTCAAATTGAATAACTAGTTTTGCCTGTTTAAGCTTCCAGTTCTTTTCCTTACTGAGGAACAGGTGTTTCCTCAAGTCAATTGTCTAGCCTAAATTTAATTGGTTGTTGTGGGTTTTTCGGGCTCTTTGGCCATGTTCTGAAGGTTGTTCTTCCTGACGTTTCGCCAGTCTCTGTGGCCGGCATCTTCAGATTCGGACACAGAGACTAGTGAAATGTCAGGAAGAACAACCTTCAGAACACGGCCAAAGAGCCTGAAAAACCCACAAAAACCATTAGATCTCGGCCGTGAAAGCCTTCGCAAATACACTAAATTTAATTGCTAGTTCCACCCACAGCAGACCCAGTGAATCAAGAGGATTTTCATAAGTGTTGGTTTCCTATTCAGCAGTTCATTCATTGAGTCTATTCTAATTGGGAGTAACAATTGAATGTTGGCCAAAGTGCTTAAACACATTTTAGTTAAATGCACTACTTCTGGCATCTTATACTTAAATATTTGATAGACCTAAAAACTATGGCAGGTGATATCTTTATTGGACCACTCGAAAACTGAGCAGTAGCTAGCTTCCAACGTAAATCTGTCTCCCTCAAGATGTGCACCAAAATATTACGGACATATGAGAGTCCTCAGCATTCCTGCCAATTGTCTGTATCCATCTGGTTCTCAAAGGTGAATTCAGAAAGCATGGCTGCCAAAGCTTACCCCTGTTAGCTGTTGATTGGATTTCTCCTCTTAACTTCTTACAGGGCCGTGTGGCCCATCACACAAGGACCATACAGCTCTGTTTCATCTCCCCCCCCCCCAAACTTTAACAATTTAATATACCCTTCTGTGTCTTCTGCCTTTGTGACTTGGTTAAGCTATTAGCAGAAAATGGAGGAAAGTGGGAAGGCTTGAGGAGGCCTCAAACAAAATGAATTTCTTAGAATTCACATTAGGTCCAGATTTAGTCCTACATTTTATTTATTTTATTAGATTTATACCCTGCCCATCTAGACAGATAGTCTACTCTGAGCGGCATAACAAAGTTTAAAAACAATAGGTTTTCTTAAATCAGATTTTCTGTACCCCAAATTTAAAGAAGGGGCAATAGTAAGGTGTCAATCTGGATTTTAGGCTGCATTTAAGATGAAGAGTTACTCTCAACATTTCACTGCTCAGATTCCTCTGCCCTGTTACCTTTTATGAGGGTACCCCCAATTACTGTTTTTTAGAAAGCTAAGAGCCATGCTTTATTTAAAACTGAATTGAGCAGCTAAGGGTTCTGTGGATATTCTTAAGAGCCCTCATAATTCAAGCACTGCTTCTTAGCCTCTGCTTTCACATTCAGGGGATGATTTCATTTGTATCATCAAATACTACAGAATATTTATTTGACACAGTCTAGAACAGAAAATTAAGAGGGATGAACTGATGTAACATGTTTCCTGATGATTTAACAACCACATCTCCCCCCTGCTCCTTTCCTTTTTCCCTCCCCAGAATTATGCATCCTGTTTTGCAACTATCACAGAAGATCTAAGTGACTTAGATAATCCATATGAGATCTTAAACCATTCTGGCATCAACTCTATCACCTGGCCTCAGTATAATACTGGAATTTATATGTTCAGGTTGAAGATAGTTGACCCAAACTTCAGGTTAACTTTAACCATTTTTTTCTGATTTGAACTTTGTAAACATGATTCATGATCGTCTATTTAAGTCTATACTACTCTAATGCACTTTACAAGGGGTGATCCCACAACTAAGCATGCTTCCAGAGTTCAGATGAGGCTTTTACTGTGCATTTGCCCTGCCTCATTTACATAATTTAACAGGATAGTTAAAAACTAGTAGTTTATCCATGCAACTGACCTACCAAATGACTTGTTCTCAGTGCTTCCACAACTTTAGTAGCAGCACTGGAATGACAGCTAAATATGGATTAACATATTAGTCTATTTCTCCATCTGTGTCACATTAACATGTGTCTAAGCTTAGACACTGTATTCTCCTTTCTGTATTAATCCACAAAATAAATTTAAGTCTGCACCAATATGCATTTAAATACACATCTCTATAGTTTTTCTTCTTCAAAATGCACAGTTCAACATGTTTTGCTCCTTTTTTAAGCCAAACACTAGTAATATTCAGGATGTGCATTATTATGTCCATTTCTATTAGAATTACCAAACACTGAATTTCTCATACATCCCAAATCTGTAATAATGTGCTGGTGCTATTTTAAAGAACTGGTAGTGGTGTGTTTATACTTCCAAATAATTTTTAAAATTTCTGATTATGTTGTGTCTCTGTGTTTGTGTGTGTGTATACAAATACACATGTACATTAAATCACATAACAGCTTGATTTTAAGACCCCAAATCATGCTGTATAGTGATCAAAATTTGAATTACGTATTTTTAAATTATACGTAATTATGTATATTTAAATGTGATGTATGTATAGCTCAAAGAAGTCTCCCTACTCTGATGCCTCCTTCCAGTTTGGCTTGAAATTCTCAGTATTTCCCATCATTGCTCATACTAGCTGGGGCTGAGGGAAAGTGAAGTCTGAAACACCCTAAGGCACTACACTGGGGCAGGCTGGTCTGGAGTTTATTTTCGTCATCATCATTTTAATTTGACAGGTGGACATGGAATACCAAAATAATGATGTATGTCTCTTCTTTGTTACAGCTTTTGTAACTTCTTTGCGTTATTTGGCGTCCGTACATATGGTATCATTGAAAGGTAATTGCCAAAGGCCCTTTTAAATGGTGTAAAACATGCATATCTTTGGAAAACACACAGCTGTGAGTTACTGTCCGATGAGGCAAAAAAGATGCTTTCTGTTGTGACAGACTCATCTTGACTACGCATGGATCTTAATGTTAATTTCTGCTATGTGCTAGGAATGTGTAGATAGTTGCATATGTATTTAGAAATGCCATTTCCTTTCTACAACCTTTCCTGTATATGTTTGTTTTGTTTTGATGAATCAACTGAATAAGACTTTAAATGTCTAAAATATGTTTTGGTTATCTTTCAGACCAAACTGGTTGGTGGTGGCTGGTTGGTCTACCATGCTAGTGACTCTCTTTTTGGGAGTCCTAGTCTTCAGCTACTTCAGATACGTGAAGACATTTCGGACACTCAATTTTGTTGATCCCATACTGACACCTAGCCCACGGGCTAGTGTAATACAGCCAACAGATGGACTTAAGAAAGAGTGACTTCACTTGTAATGTCTTATGAATTATTGTGGTATTCTACAGTGAACTCCAAAATTTAACTGTAAGACAAGTAGTTTCCTGCCCCTTTCATTCAAACATCAGAACTCAATTTTTTAACATTTTTCTAGGAGATATTGCGTAGTTCATCTTCAAGCTTCCCTGGTTGTTGTTTTAAATTTTGAACTATATGTTGGGGAGAGGATTGCAATAGTTAATTTTTTTCCTAACTTCCTACTATATCAGCTGTCCAGTCTCCCAAGTCTGAATTTCTTAGACTGTACAAGTAGAGGTACAACTTCTGCATTTGGACAAGTAGAGGTACAACTTCTGCATTTAATAAGGCATGATGCTTGGGCAGATTTGGCACTTATATATAGACCAATCCACTGAAAAGTTAATGTTATACTAACTCCACTGAAATGAATAGGCTAATGAAGAGGGTAATGAACAGAGTTAAATGAATAGTACATTTAAACTCTAGATAGGACTGAGCTGCCAGTTTGCAACATAGAAGTTTCTTGTAGTCATGCATTTTTAGCATTTCACCCCATGCTTTAATTCAAACTGTTGTATATTATATTCCCAAACCATGTGTGATATATTTTAAATTCACTGTAATTTACTAGTTTTGAAGGTATTTTCCCACAAACATTTCAATAGCTTGCATAATTAAAAACTGTTTCGCACAATGTTTGTTTCAGCATTTAAAAAAATAAAATTTAAATATATGAAATATTCTTTCATTTTCAGATGAATCTGTAATGTATCTGAGAAAACAAAAACGTAATCATGCAACACTGTATTCAACATCTGCCAGTTAAGAGGGTTTAGGAGCTGGTAGAAGCCCTGCTATGCCAATCATAGTAGAGATAAATTGCTGGTGTGACACATTTATGGGTAGAACTTAGCCAATAGGGCCAAAAACTCAGCTGGCAGAATGGCTGAAATGTGGTACAGGTATGGATATGATAGAAGCAGCAGTAAAGGAGGAGCACACATGCCCAACTCTATCACCCTGGAACTCACAATTCTGCTCCCACCAGTAACAGAGCTTTACAGATACCCAGCACACTATGAAAAATTACCCTCCCATTCACTTCAATGGGTGGTGTTTCAAATTCTTTTTTTTAAAAGACATGTCAAAGATCGCAGCAACTACTGGACCATTATATTAATCTCCTGTGCAAGAAAAATCTACAAGATAGATTTCTACTGCATGTGGAGCAGGAAATATCAGATGTTCAAGCTGAATTTAGAAAAGGAAGAGGCACTGAAAGTTGTATTGCTAATATACATTGCCCAGTGGTTTAGTTATCTGGCTGTGGAGCCAGAGGTTTGGAGTTCATTTCCCCACTATACCTCCTTAACAAGGGCTAGACTCGATGATCCATAGAGTCCCTTCTAGGTCTGCAGTTCTAAAATGATGAGGGTGATTAAAACCTTTTGTGTAGCTACACAAATGGTGTAACTTTTGTAGGTGAATTACCTGAAGTTAAGACATTACCATTATCGTCATGAGCTATACAACTCGATAAGCAACAGATGTAAAGTGTATTTCTATCTTGAAGCAATTCGCCAGTCATATTTACAATTAGTTCTGCCTTGCAAGTTGAGTCTAGAAGTACAGAGCAGAAAAAGAAATGACACTAATGTTCCACTAAACTCAGCAGAGGGATTGGGATGTAAATACCAGAGCTCATTTCATTACTTTCATAAATAACTTACTGCATTACTTACTAGGATGTTTGATTCACTTCTCATTAAACCCAAACACCAACTTATCTTCATTCTATTTGTGTCAAGTAACGAAGGTTCCCACCCCTCAGAACAGCATGGGATCATCTGTTTTTCCAACAATTTTCTTTACCACAACCCAGGAAGTATAGGAGGCAACTACTCACACTTCCTGGAGGGGCTAAATTGCCCCATTCATAAAGTGACAGAACTCATGAGAAACTATATGAATTATGGGCAGATGCCTTCATACTTCCTGGATAGTGGGCAGCCTGAATGTTGACAACACCAATGGTAGCAGTCAAGATGGTTTCCAGCAGTGGTTCCTAACCTTGGATTCCCAAATGTCCTTGGACTACAACTCCCAGAAAACATGGCCAGCACAGCTAGCGGTGAAGGCTTCTGGGAGTTTGGGTCCATTAAGTTTGAACTTAATGAAATGGCAAAGAAATTGTGTTAAGTGCAAGACATACAATAGAGAAACATACACACCTTTTAACCTCTCAGGTAAACTAATGGTGCCATGCCTGCTCTGCAAAAGGCAGACTAGAAAGCTATGTTCCAGTTTCCAAAACCTTTCCTTGAGGTAGGCAACCTGAGGAAGAAAAGCTAAATTGAACCAAAAGCTCTATAAACACATTGTATGCATGTTTTCCAAAAGATGTCCCCTCACCTTTTGGAATAAAAGAGAGCCAGGAGTTAACAAAGATTATTACTAAATAAATTGATTACTATTAATATAATCCATACTATGTGAAAGAATATCAGTGATGAAAGAATGGACAACAATCAACTAATTTGAAACATGGTGTTGAGGGAGAGTCTTACAGACACCACAAACAGCTAAAAAGGCAGAAAAGTCAAGTGAACCCTGAAATCTCACTAGAACAAAAATAAGTGGATTTAAGCTATCCTACCTTGAACATATGATGAGTATACAGAACTGTCTACAAAAGACAGTATTGCTGGGAAAAGTGGGGGTGGGGATGGGAGATGGGCAGTGGGAAAATTTAATATGAGGCTGATTGTTTCAACAAGGGACACCACAGCTCTTAATTTGCAAGACCGGAGCAGAAGTTACAGGAAAAGATAATATTGCTAGGAAGGGGGAGGCAGTAGGAAGTGGGAACAACCTAACATGAGGTGAGGTTGGTTTGCAAGATGTGACTGGAGCTGTTAATGACAGGACATTTGGGGGGTTATAAACTCATAGTCGCCACACATCAGAAGTGACGACAGCACATAACATATTTGTAATTTATTTTAATTACCAAGCAATTGTATAGTGAAAAAATGGGTGGAATGGACACTATGACAAGATACTGGCACCAAAGCTCTGATAGCATGTTATTTAGCATCTAAATGAAACCACTGGGAAAGATTGTCTGGCTTTTGGGGGTTTAGTGCCACCAGTATGTGGATGATACCTAAATCTTTCCATCTAAATCCAAGCAAGTTGTTTCAGTTCTAGATCAGTGTTTGGTGTCACTTAATTCAGACAAAACATACCTGATCTGCTAAAAGGAAACACAGGCCTGCAACTTGGGCTTGCTCCTGGATTCGTCTCTGAGCCTGGATGCCCAGGTTTCAATGGTAGAAGCAGTGCTTTTGCACAATTAAAACTAGTGTATCAGCTGTGCCTGTTCCTTGAGAGACCCTATCTGGCCATGGTAACACATGCCTTACTTAAATTTCAGCTGTATTGCTGTAACATGTTTTACATGAGGCTTTCTTTGGAAACTTCCGCGGGTCAAAGGCTTTGGGAAATAGATGGATGAGTGCTGCCAGCATTGCTGCAGAGGTTGAAGGGGTGGGGTGGGGGGTCAGCCTGTCAGTGCTTGGACCATATGCCACACACTGCATCAAACTGGTCTCCAGGGCTGTCGTCCCAGAAGGAAGCCTCTTCTAAAGATGATGCACAAGAAAGCCTGCATACAGTTGGCTGCAGACAAGCAGACTAAGGACATGAATTTCTTGAATCATGTCCTGTGGTCCAGTGAGATCAAGATAAACATTTGGTTCAGATGGTGTCAAGCGTGTATGGCGGCAATCAGGTGAGGAATACAAAGACAAGTGTGTTGTGCCTACAGTCAAGCATGATGGTGGGAGTGTCATGGTCTGGGGCTGCATGAGTTCTGCTGGCACTGGGGAGCTACAGTTCATTGAGGGAACGATGAATGCCAACATGTACTGTGACATACTGAAGCAGATCATGATCCCCTCCCTTCGGAGACTCATGTTTGTTGCCAGCAGTTTAGACATTAATGGATTTGTCTTGCGTTATTTTGAGGGGACAGCACATTTAAACTGTTATACAAGCTGTATACTCACTGCTTTACATTGTAGCAAGTGTGATTTCTTCAGTGTTGTCACATGAAAGGATATACTGTACTAAAATATTTATGAAATGTAAGGGGTTGTATTCACTTCTGTGATATACTGTGTTGTTGTTTAGTTGTTAAGTCGTGTCTGATTCTTCATGACCCCATGGACCAGAGCACGCCAGGCCCTCCTGTCTTCCACTGCTTTCCGGAGTTTGGTCAAATTTATGTTGGTAGCTTCAATGACACTGTCCAGCCATCTCGTCCTCTGTCATCCCCTTCTCCTCTTGCCTTCACGCTTTCACAACATCAGGGTCTTTTCCAGGGAGTCTTCTCATGAGATGGCCAAAGTATTGGAGCCTCAGCTTCAGGATCTGTCTTTCCAGTGAGCACTCAGGGTTGATTTCCTTTAGAATGGGTAAATTTGTTCTCCTTGCAGTCCAGGGGACTCTCAAGAGCTCTCACTTCCGTACATCACTACAGGAAAAACCATAGCTTTGATCTCTCTGCTTTTTAAGATGCTGTCAAGGTTTGTCATCGCTTTCCTCCCAAGAAGCAGGTGTCTTTTAATTTTGTGGCTGCTGTCACTATCTGCAGTGATGATGGAGCCCAAGACAGTAAAATCTGTCACTGATATATTGTAGGTCCAAGCTATTTCAAGTACCATATCTCCCATTATGAGCCTACTTGGGCATTAATATCAGCAGAGGAGGCCTTTCTCTCAGTTCCACCACCCTCACAGGCATTTTTGGTGCGTACACAGGAGATGACCTTTTCTGTTGCTACTCCCGGACTCTGGTACTCCTTCCCACGAAGACCTTTCTATTTAGGCAGGCTTTTCTTTAATTGGCTGTTAGACCAATGGGAGTTTTTAAGGGAGTATTCTTTCTGTGTTTTACATGAGTTTTTGATATTGTTATTGTAAGTTTTAATATATTTGTTTAATGCTTTTTTAAATATCGTGACAATTTATTATTTGGGATTTAACTCTGTTTCTTTTAAATACTGTAAGCCACCTTGGAACTTTCAGGAGAAAGGTGACATATAAATATTTTTAATAAAAATAAAATAGCAACAAAAATTGACTAAGACCATTTCCATCCACAAAGCATCATCATCATCATCATCATCATCATCATCATCATCATCATCATCATCATCATCATCATCATCATCATAAAAAATTCACAGCTTCATCAAGAGAGCTTCTAAATATTTGTTTTCTGTTCTTTTTTAAAATATCTTTTAAAATATTTTTACAACCTGGAATGCCTGTTTAGCAAGGAAGGAGTTAAAATGTTCTCCTTTTGAAAGGCAGCTAATTGGATCCAGACTGAGAGGGTCAACAGTTCAGATTGTCCCAGACTTGGAGGTGATTTCCCCTTTGAAGACTTGTTCCAAGATGTCAAGGCCTGAAATCTACCCTGTTTCCTTGAAAATAAGACAGGGTTCTTATATTTATTTTTGTCCCCAAAACGCATTAGGGCTTATATTCAGGGGATGCTTTATTTTTTTCATGTACAACAATCTACATTTATTCAAATACAGTCATGTCATCTTCTGGTTGCTGCGCAATGGTGGAGGGCAGGGTTTCACTTAACTAGGGCTTATTTGGGGAGTAGGGC